AAGCAGGTTCCAGGTATGGCAGCTAGTGTAGAACCTTCGGGTGGACTACTTAAATTAGACAATGACTAAAGTTGTATAAGTGGCTAGTTGTACACTCTTTCCATGGTTGCTCTCTGTAGTTGTAATGCAACTATTAGCTGAATGTACTATCAATAAAATTCTGAGTCGCAAGTACTCACCTTAATATTTAAAAAAAAAAAAAAAAACAGATATTTATGATAAATCAGCATAATCAATATTAGAAAGGCCCTTCATATTGCTTTTTCCGATAAATTTGAACTATTTAATACTCTGAATACACCATTTTTTTAAACTCTAATTATGGCTAAGAATGTATTATTAGAAACTCCAAATACTTTTTTGCTTATCTGCACCCATGATACAAACTATATACATATTTAAATTAGTTGTTTAAAAATAATTATTGTCATTTATGTAATATTTCAATACTAATAATTCAAATCACAATTTCCTATGAATTAATCTTGAAAAAAATGATAATAACTTCAACTTAATGATATAATATCAAAGCTTAAAAAAACAAAAAAGTTTTTATTTTCCTTGTGATAGTTCAGAACATACAGTCAATCTAATGACATAGATAAAAAGCAAAAAATTCAAAACTTATAACAGTGAACTTATTAAAGTTTCACATATAAGGTTCTTATATTAGAAGAAAAAAATATACTAATAAAATACAGTAAAATCTTCACATGGAAATCATTAGTCCTTAGTATGAGATTGAACTATTACACGTAATTAGTATAATATTTCTTTTTCAAAAAATTATATAAATACTCTATTTCTTTCTCACTAATTATTTTATCGTGATATTATTAAAAAAATTTTTTGTATCTTCATCTTCAAAATTAAAAATCATAGCTTTAAAAAAATAAACATAAGCCAGTTCATCTGCATTATTATCATCAGAATTATTATAATAAAAAACAGCAAGCTGAAAAATACTATCAGCATAATTCATGTCTGCAGATTTTTGAAGGTACTTCAAAGCTTTATCTTCATCTTTATTAGTACCATCTCCATGTAAAAAGCAATATCTGACTTTATGAATGACTGGAACAAGACCTAAATCCATGGATTCTTTAAAGTAATAAAAAGCTTCATCTTGTTTACAATCTTTTTCTTTTTGCAATCCTTCATCATATAATTCTTCTGGTGATTTATAATTTCTAATACCCATATTTTCTATATTAAATTTTCTTTAGTTTGATTGACATAATGATAAGACAAGAAAAAATATCATATATACATGTTGAGAGTCAAACTCAATCTATCCAAGTTGAGGTTGTTTCTCAACACATATGGCATGATATATATATATTTTGCTTTATTGTTAGTCTATTACTGCTGCTCACTTGATTATAAAGATAATTTTTGAAATAAGTTAATTCTGTAATCTCTACATTAGAACTAACTTTTAATATTATGTATTTAGATCTGAATAATTATACAAAGAATCATCTGAATGAGGAAATTTGAACGAGAAAAAATTATTGGTTGACAAATGCATTATTATAGTGATTTATTTTGTTTTGGATCATCTTGAACTTTGCATTATTATGTACTGTATCTTTAACTACATGTACAATCACTTAATTGTCATTAATCATGTAATTGTAAAGTAATTTTCTTAATAAAAATTTAATGCTATAATTTATGATCTGTTCTACCACAAAAATCTTGACATCCAAACTCTCGAAAACCATAATCTTAACATCACGTAGAGTGACAATTAATATTTGTAATTACAATAACTCATTAAATTTTTAATCATTACATTTTCGAATCAGGTGATTGTACTGTATGTGCAATTTGCAAATTTGATTAAAGATACATCATTTTGCAAAAAACGATAAATAAATCTAAGGAACAATACCATCATCTAGTTGTTCCAAAGTAAGGTCAATTTTATATTTATGATTTGAAGAAATTATAATTAAAGGGAATGAAACAACTTGTCTTCTGCCAAGTGGAAATTCTGAACTTATTATAGTGATGTAAAGACTAGGATTACATATATTTGGGTTTATTCTTGAAAAGTTGATGCTACAATTACTTATACGTACTAAAGACATTCATTATATCTCTTGATATATAAAGTAAAATTACTGAATGCATCAAGTTGTGATGTCTATAATAAGCTTATTCAGTCATTAAATGATGCCATCAATAATTTTATTATATTTTTTTCAAAAACTGCTAAAATTATTACTTTTGGCTTAAAACTTCTTTTTAGTAAGATGAGATAGGTTGGGCTATTTGTTTTCGGTAAGATACTTTAAGACTTATATGAACTAATATTACAATTATATATTAAATATTGTGTTATTTTTAGATAGACAGATACAGCTTATATTATTATGGTTTAATTTAAAGAAGCTTCGATTCACTTGGTTGGCACGCAAAGAGATTATTCTTATCTCATTTGAGAAACACGATGTAGAAACAATAATTGAAATCTATTTAATTGTAAAGGTTTGTAATGATGTACAATTTTATACTAAGGGTATGGGTCCCATAGCTTAGCGGTTAAGCTCCCATGCCTCCACAGACAAGGTCAATGGTTCAAGTCCGGCTGGAGGCAAAAATCAAAATGATTTTAGCCTCTGTAACCCAATATGGAGCCAGTAATTGAACGCGAAGCCCTGTGGTCAAGTCCAAGTGCAGTACAT